CTATGGTTTGAAATAATTGTCATAAGACAAAATTATTTTCCCTAACATCATTTATATTTATCTTCTTTTTGAAGTTCCTTTCCGCAACAAATTAGAATATAGTATTTAAAACTGTTAGGGAAAATAATTTTGTCTTATGACAATTATTTCAAACCATAGATTAAATTAATTGTTATATTTTAAACCAGTGGTTCTCAAATTATTTTGGTTCAGGGACTCCTTAAAACGAAGAAAAGGTTTCAGGTCCTCCTCATAACCCTCATGTTTATTAAATAATTTTCTCCAAATTGTTTCTTTAATGCAGTGGAAATGTTTGTGTAACATAAATACTTGAGACCTGTTCTTTAATGGTGTTAATACAATTTTTGTACTTTTAAACATGGAGTTTTTTTTTTTAAATCCAAGACACACTTTATTAACAAAATTTTTAATTTCAACTTCCAAAAATTACAGTTTTGAGAAAACGAACAGCATCAAAAAACACTTTAAAACTTTACCTATTGACATAATGAACATAATAAATGTATTGCCACTTCTTCAAATTATTACAGAAAACTCTTAACATAAAACTGAACAGAATTATAACAGTAGTAGTCACATCAAGTAGCTTAATCTGTAAATCGATCAATGCTGGAACGTAAATAGTGGGAGGGGGGGTCAGATCTGGGGGTCCTCCCCCAGAAAATGTTCAATAAAGTAGATGTGATTTCCTGCATTTTGATGTATTTTAACAGGTTATTAAACATCTACGTGTTTGTAAAAATTAAAAATTAAAATGGTGGACCCCCGAGCACCAGCTCACAGACCCCCAGGGGTCCGGGGACCCTAGTTTGAGAACCACTGTTTTAAACAACACCACGTTGTTGTTTTTTAACATATAAAGTCCCTGCTAGCTCCTAATCTCTGACTTTTAGGTGTGTGATCAAGATGATCAACCTATTATCACACAAATAAAAATTACAGTAATTTTGAGCTTTTTTTTTTTTTTTTGGTTGTTTTTTTTTGGGGGGGGGGTTTGATAAAATTTTTAAAAAGAAGTCAGGGTTGAAATTCAAGCACGAGACGTCTACTTCCTGTCTTTGTGTCGTAGCAGGCACATTTGTGAGAAGCTGGAGCTGAAGTCAGCCAAAAGACAACATCAATCAGTTGGAGAAGCACAATGTGGGCCTTGTGTTTGAGGTCCCACCCTGCTCCATGGCCCGAAGGCCACATCAAAGCACGGACTGACAAGTCTGTTAGGGAACTATTGTTGACATTTTTTCTGAACTAAGTAACTTTTTTATCATTTGAACTTATCTCGTTTTTCCTTCCATTCTTGTTTATACTTCGGCTGCTGCTGCAGCTGTGTTAATCATTTCAGCTGGGTTTTTTTAACCTCCTTAAATGTGAACATTTGAATAAACTTTAGCATTTTTTTTGAAGGAGTGTATATTGATGATGCCAGACAAAAATAATGCCATGCTGAGAAAATATGAAGTTCTGGTGGTTTTGGTCAAATCTTGCAAATAACTCTCTGCACAGTCTCGTGCAACATTATGAGATGTTATGTGTTTTGAACAACTCTCCGCTTCAAATTTTTAGCTTGATAACTGAAACACTGACTGAGTTACAGACATTTTAGTTGTGTGTTAAGTCAATTAGCTGTGGCAGCCACAATGAACTGGGTGATCTTCAGAATTTAATCACTTCTAGAAACACATCCATTCAATACTGTCTGCAAGTTTCATTTAATTTTGTTCAATGATTCATGAGAAATTTTGCTAACAGACAAACAGGATGGGCAACAACAGTTAAAGTCGATGTTTATGTGTAAAAAAAAATAAACCATTCAAAAATGATTTTGTGCTATGACCTCAACAGACGCACAACCTCACTCCCTGGATTGCAAGTCGTGCACGCACAGATGACAGATGCTTTTTACTTCGCCAGCAATTAGACAGCACCGGGAGGTCCTGCGCTCACTGTGTTGTTGCTGTGTCTGCTCTCTTGTTAGAGAATTGATGACACCGTCTTCAGAAAACAAACAAGGCGGGAAGCTAAAAAGGTGGTCACTCAACGCAGCTCCGTGACCCAGAAACGTGGGGGCCACGGCGGCATGTGCATCTGCAAACCCCCCGCCTCCTTGGAATGTGCAGCAGTGTGTGTGCACGCGCTACTGTTTGTGTTTCACTGATACCACAGCTGGAATGTGGCTGTCTTGTGGCGTGCCCGTGTGTGTTTTGTTGTCAGGCTGCAGCAACAAGAACTGTCTGCATTATTGTTTTGCGTCACTCAGCTTGATGCCGAGATAAATCACTTGCATGAAGAAGCCTCCCCCCACACCCTCCCTCCTCCCTGTGGGCACTGTCCTGCCAGGGGAGACTCCTGTCACTCCCTGCTCTGACTCACACTTCACATCAGAGCCCGACCCGTGGGCCCGAGGCCTCCTCGGTACACACACAACACAAATCCTGCTCTGGGGCCCCAAGCCTTGTTCTGGGAGCTCAAATCCCATAATTGCAGAGCTGACAGTGATAGCTAACATACGAGACACCCTCACCTGGTCGCAAAGAATGAAAACACCTACTGTCAGCCAGGAGGAGAGTGGGGGTGGGATCGGTACAGGGGAAAGTGAGCCACATGGAGCACAAAAAACAAAACAAAATGGAAAATAGTAAGAACTGTGTTGAACTAGTCTTAAGATTATTTGCACATATTTTGTACGGACTTTGCGAGAGGTTTAAGAGGCTTTAAAAGGTTTTATTCAAGTCTGAGAAATCTTATTCATGTTTGGCACAACAGCCATCGTCACTGAAGGAGGTGAAAATGGTTTTCATTGTATGTTCTGTATCAGGTTGTGACAATGTGAACAAATGCCTTTTTACAGTTGTTTGGTGACCACTTCTTGGATCAACAAGGTTTAATAAAACACATTAACTTTTATGTTTATAGTTGAAGTCATATCCATGCAATGGCTGGCTCAAGTTGCCGCCTTAAATTTTTGAAGGCAAAAATGACTTCATATAAGAATTTTGTCTGCAAATAGCATTTTTCTTTTTGTGCATGGCCAAAGATAGCACTTTTTTTTTTTCGGCAGATCATTTTTGATTTGTAGTATATTTCAAAGTTCTGCACATTGTGTACATTTCTTGCTAAGTTTAGCAGTTTATTTTAGTGTGGTGGAAATATAACATTTATGCTATTTACTGGATAACATTTTACGAGTCAACTCAGCGACCTAACTGCCAACAAAGTCAATGTCTCGGTAGAGAAAAGGAGGCTGGACTGACTTCCATTAATCAACTACTTAAACTCCTGCAGACAGCTGTGTGGAGAGAACAGGAGAGCCATGTTTGTTTACACCAGACCTCAAACTTGCATGTTTACACAGAATTACATCCAGTCACTCAAACGGCATGAGGGCAAGTAGTTAAAAGCAAACTGACATATATGATGAATACCTGTCCTCCTCTTCTGAAACATTTTGCACTGAATCATTTGACACGACTTTTGACCCTTATTTCTAATAAAACTGAAGCCTGTGCACAGCCAAATCAAAAATTTGCCTGGGATGTGCTGGAACATGTCAAGGTTGTAGCCCCCTCTTGTGGCGATATCTATTATTACAATTAACAGTGAGAATTACTGCCATTGGTTAAAATAGTTGTCAATCAAATAATTGACGCGTTCATTGGTCAGCATCAAGACGAGGCGGATCAATTTGGTGGATTCCTATTGGTTAAGACTTTCACGCCCATTTCACATCTTCCAAATCCAAATCAAGGTGAAAGTCCACGCAAACCGCTCAGGTGCACATTTACTGCGGCCACAGCCCTCATTTAAAGAAGCCATGTCGGTGTTTTGTGAAGTCCCTCAAGCAGCCCCTATAGCTGTCTTTAAGCTGATGCAGGACTTCAACAACGACCCATTTCCTAAAAAGGTGAACCTGGAAGTTGGAGGTAAGTTTTCCCATGGCAACGGTATCCAAGGGCAACAGGCTCCTGCTACTGACGCATTAATTAAAGAAGCCACGTTTTCGTGCGGCAAAGTCGTTTTTTTGTGTATTTTCATGATGGAGCACGTGCTATATATTGATAGTCGTTGAGATGTGAAGGCGGGCGATGATGTTTTTGCCCCTTTTCTGCACGTGTCTGTTATCCCAGTATCTCAGGATCCACTAGACAGGTTTTAATAAAACTTGCAGAAAGTAATCAATAGATGGACAGCTTCAACTGATTAACTTTTGGAGGCAACACGATTGAAGATGAATGACGAAGGCACCGACTTAGAAATCACACAAAATGGTGATAAGTCAGTCAATTCTAGAGATATTGACCTAAAATTTGAAGTGTTAGTAGCTAAAATTCATCCCTAACTCATATTAAGAGCACTGATATGTTGTGCAATAGCTTTCTTCAAAAAGGTTACACTAACTAATAGGAGCCTACCCTGTTTGTTAGCAAAATATCTCATAAACCACTGGACAGGATTAATTGAAACTTTCAGCAGGGTATCACTGGGTGTACTTCTACAAATGTTTGACATTAGGAGTCAATCCTCATTAAGATGGGCACCACAACTGACTGATATTAGCCAGAAATGGCTATAACTCTGTCATTTTTTCAGATATTGTGCTAAATATTGAAGTGTTCTGAACTCATACTGTAAGTGTGACATCTTAAGAAATTCCATGAGATTGTGAATATCAGTATTTTCACGTTTTGACCAAATTAACATCATCACATCTCAACATAAAATATTTTTTAGTCCCAAACTGGTATGAAACGCCGAGGACAATATGCAACCCTTTAATGACTCATAGATCTTTAATAATGTTATAAATTAATATAACACTGGGGTTTTTTTTAAGTTGTCAAAATCATGAGAATACATTCACAAGAAAAGCCTTTTAGTCCCACTTTCTTGCTGCTGTTCTACCAGAAGATCTCTGTCTTTGTGGGCTTGTTGGGAGTCATTTGGATTATTTATCTGTCATTACATGAGAACAATCTACTTGCACGAGTTAATCTGTCTAGTTTAGACCTGTGCCCCTCTTAAAGCGAGTAAATGAATCACTTCAGTCTTCTGCAGGTGTTCGTTAGTCTTACTGCCAGAGACAATTCCTTCATAATAAAAGTGTCATCTGAGGAATGTGGCGCTCTGATGTGGTAGGAAAAAGGCCAACTGAGATCCACGATTAGTCGTGAGGTCATTTAATCCCCATCCCTCTGCTAGACTCTGAATGCCACAGATGGTCAAATGCCACAGTGCAGCTGGTAAATGTAGGCCACGCTGCGTTCTGCTGTCACATACACTGAGTCAATGCCTAAACTTCAAGTCTACAAAGAGAAATGCTGCAAATGAGAGGGGTGGACTTTTTAATATTTCTTTTGTATTCAATTAAATGTTTTTACGGTTTTGAGTAGGAAAAAGGACAATAACTCGGTGTGATGCAGCTGGTATGATAAGAAATAATGGGTTCGAAATAAACCTGATTTTCTCTATTCTAAGGAAAACAAAGTTATTGTATGATCAAGTCATTATCAAGTGTTCAGCTGGCAAATACACAAAAAAGTACACATGTAATGTGTACTTTTGTTGTGTTGGAAAATATATTTACAGGGTTCTGCTGGATGCACTAATTAATGTATCTGAAAAGTTAACAAAGACTTAAAAAGAGTCTGTATATGATCCGTCCTATATTTTTTAATGCTTATATGTTTTGCTGAGCCACGCTGTCTAGATCAGGGGTCTGCAAGCTGCAGCCCTGGAGCCACACGAGGCTCTTCAGCCTTTTGGCTCTTTTGACCAAAATGACATAATGCTCAGTAATGCTTAGGATCTATTTATTGCAAATTAACATTGGGAATATGTACTTTAGGAATTTGTCTGATTTTTTTAAATAAATAATTTATATTTCTACTCTTTCTAGGCATCAACCAATATGAGGTTGTAGAAATATACATGTGTTGTGTAAAGTGTCCTGTAATTAAAGCCAGACGTAGTAAATAAAGGGTATGGACTTTAATTTGAAGGAAAAAAAAAAGGAGTCAAAATAAAATCGCTAACAAACAAGTTTAATTTTATGAAAATTTTAAGGTATTTTGTTACAGCCTGGTCATTTATTTAAATTAAAATGTGTTACATATTCCACTTTCAAAACTATGGACTCAAATGGGTCTGCATTGTGTAGTTTTTCTATGTAATTTTGTCATCAAACATAAAACACTGCCTCCAACAGAATGAAACATAAGTGTAATATAAATAAATATGGATAAAGTTTGCAATTCATCATTAAAAAAATAATAATGGCAAAATACATTTTTGAGTCTTTAAAACTTTATTTACGGGAAAGGAAATAAAATTGCACTTTTGAAATGTAAAGGTTGATGTAAAGCAATGAAATGATGCACATTCACTGAATGCATGCTGTTTTCATTTCACCAAAAAGAATCTGCAAAGATGAAACCACTACAGAGCTTCTGGTTTTCAGCTCATATTCTTTTCCATCTTTTCAGGCTTGTGTCACATCAAGGCTTTATTTCTATTATAGTCATCGTTTTTTTTTTTGTTTTTTTTTTTGTTATAATAACTTTGTTTCTTGCAGCCTACAGGACAGATGAAGGCAAACCTTGGGTTTTGCCAGTGGTGAAAAAGGTGGAGAAAACCATTGTGCACGATGACCGGCTAAACCACGAGTACCTGCCCATCCTGGGCCTGCCCGACTTCAGATCCTCGGCCTCCAAGATCGCGTTTGGAGACGACAGTCCTGCCATCCAAGAGGACAGGGTTTGTGTCATAAACGAACACAAACTGCTTCTCAGTCCTGCATCTGTTCTCATTTAACATCACGGTCATTTCACTTTTTGTTTCACTCAGGTTGGGGATGTCCAGTGTCTCGGTGGTACCGGTGCCTAGAAGATAGGCGCAGAATTTCTTAGGCGATTCTACAATGGGACAAACAACACAAAAACACCCATCTATGTTTCTACACCTACATGGGGTACTCACAGATTGCACAGGCTAGAAATAAATCTGCATCCTGAAGACGAGCCGCTCATTTGAGAACTTTGAAATAAAGATCTTTAGACTCTATGAAGACTTTAGACTCAGGATATTAAAGGGTTGTACTAGGAATGTCCTGTCACCCATTATCAGCGACCTTTTTTAATCAATGAGAAACATCAATAAGTCAGTCGTTTACAGGAAGCTTAAGCAGTCAAATTACGGCTGTCTCAGTTTTTGCTTTCCGTCTGCTTAAGAAAATCACAACGCCCTGTTCAGTAACGCTGGTTTTGAGGACGTTCGTCCGTACAAGTATTGGGATGCTGAGAAGAGAGGTCTCAATTTGTCCGGTTTTCTTGGAGCCCTAGAGGTAAAGACTTGGATTGAGACTCCATTTAACTCACTATTTTCCATCAAAGTTTATCTCGTCCTTCTGTTAATCCTTGCAGAGTTGTCCGGAGCGCTCGGTCTTCGTCCTACAAGCTTGCGCCCATAATCCAACTGGAACTGACCCCGCACAGGAGCAATGGAAGCAAGTTGCTGAGGTCTTGAAGGTATTATACTTTAAATACACACCCATACAAAACAATGTCGAAAGGTGCACCACCAAGATATTTTATTTTTGCCTCGTTTCTCGCGTTGTTTTCTAGAGGAGGAAGCTATTTGCGTTTTTTTTACTCAGCCTATCAGGGCTTCGCTTCTGGCAACCTCGACAAAGACGCCTGGGCTGTCCGCTACTTTGTCTCCATGGGCTTTGAAGTGTTTTGTGCTCAGTCGTTCTCCAAGAACTTCGGCCTGTACAGTGAGTGAGCCCCCTCGTTGCACTAACACACACACACACAAACCACAAACTACTGCGGTTTGATATTCCAAGGGATAGTTAGTTCTAAAGTTCTCATTTTAATGGATATTTTTTATGTCTTATTTACAAAATTGAGACAAACACAAATTATAGATTATCCACAAGCAGAGTTTATCTGAGCATTTATTCACGTTTTAACATTTATCACTTTGTATCAATGAATATTGTATATTGTAGCTTTGATATCGCTTTATTTGACGTGTGTTTGTTTCACCAGATGAGCGTGTGGGCAACCTGACGATTGTCGCTCGTGATGCTGACAAACTTAAGAGGGTCCTCTCCCAGATGGAGAAGATAGTCGTAACCACCTGGGCCAACCCGCCTTCTCAGGGAGCTCGCATCGTTGCCATCACGCTGAACTCACCAGAGCTTTTTTCTGAATGGTCAGCACCAGTTCTCGTCACGGGATGATTTCTGCATGCTGCTTGTGTGTCACATATCTAATACGGAGTTGTTTTTATTTTAGGAAGGATAACGTAAAGACCATGGCTTTTACTCATGAGAGCTCAGCTGAAAGCCAAGCTTCAAACACTGGGTACACCCGGGACCTGGGGCCACATCACCAACCAGATTGGCATGTTCAGCTTCACGGTGCTCAACGGTAAGTTTAAGGAACCGACAGAAAACAAATGCTTTATTCATCAAATCAAATGGAATAAAATGGCCCAAGTGCTAAAATAAAACACACAATCACTGCATCTTTATAGACTGGTAACATGTCAGGCAAAAATGAATCAAATTATAAATCTGCTTTATTTCCTGCAGCCAAACAAGTGGAATATCTGATAAAAGAGAAACACATCTATTTACTGGCCAGTGGTCGCATCAACATGTGCGGTTTGACCAGCAAAAACATAGACTATGTGGCCGAGTCCATCCATGAGGCCATTACCAAGGTGCAGTAGAAGAATGAAGAGCCCGTCCTGCTGCTGAGGCACCACCATGTTTGTTTACCGCAGGTTTTATTGACCAGTTATTTCCACTCCTGCACAGACAGCTTACCTGCACTGGTGACTTTGGCTTTGGATGTTAAACAAGACGAAACGCTGCATGAAGATGATTTAAATTGTTTTTTTTTTTTCATAAAGGATGTTCAAGTTTGATGATTTATTCGGTTTTGTCACACAATGTGCTCTTTAAAGTTGTTTTTATTCTCATAAGTGTGTATCTCAATAAGCTTGACCAGGACCAAACATGTGATTTAACTTAAACAACAATAATAGCTGGTTTTAGTATTTACTTACCATGTTTTTTGGATTACTTGTCATCGTTATTGTTGTATAAAATGTAAACATTTATTCTCAGGAAGGTAATTTTTTAACATAAACTGAGTATTAAGTTTGAATCTGGAGTGATATTTCCCCCAGTTTTGACTCCTGATGTGTGACAGCTGCAAAGAAATCGGTGCTTCTATGATTATCTCTGTATTTCCAATTTAGCCAGGTTCCCTCTGGCTTACGTTGACTGTTCATACTGGTACACAGTTATCTAAGACTGTGTTAAAGGGACACTAATGATCAACCAGCTTGTTACTGTGTCTCTGAGCAGCAGTAAAACAGACCGTTAAACCATTTTATTGAAGCTGAAAAGACAAGATGAACGAGTAAAGAACTATAAATCTAAAGCTTGCATTGTTCCCTAATATGTTTGATTTTATCAAGCATGGAACTGTCTTTACAATTTATTTTTCAAATGATGCTCATTATACTAGAAAATATAAACATGTGGGGAAAAAAACATGGCAAGAATAACAGGTCAGTCAGTTTATTAATATATTATTTCTGTAGATTATTTTTTCACATTTTTGTATAACATAGCAAAACCTTTGTTCATCCAAAACAAATGTATTCTGACAAATATAAAGCAGCTGCAAATTCTTTAAAAGCTTTTCTGCTCAGAGGAACTGACTCACAACGTTGTGTATCTGAGTCAGCTGTCAGCTCCAGACACTTCCGCTTGTGAGTCCTCCGTCTGTGGCGGGGCCAGTTTTAAAAAGCTCAGAGCTGCAGTATTGTTTGTACCGAGCAGGACGAATTAAATCAGCGCGTGTCCCCAAACGCCACCTGTGCATGATTGTTTACAGGACGGGGGAGCAGTGGTTTGACGGCAGTGCGTCATATTGCTTTAGTCGGTCAAGTCTTTGCGCTTCTGTAGGTTTTCTGCTCAAGATGGAGGTAAGTATCAAATTATAAACTTCCACACATGTTATTAAGAGTCAAGTCATTATTTCATTATTGCATTATTCCCTTATAAGTTTTCAAAACAGCCTTTTGTGAACGTTTCAGCCACATTCTCCTGTTTTTCACTCTTACCTGAAAGCATCTATTGATCATAAACCTTTAGTTTATTCATTCATTCGTTATAAAATGCACTGTTGCCTAAAATTTCTATTCATAAAGCCCCTGCCGCTACCTTCATGGGAACAATGAAATCCAGATTGTTCTAATCTTACATTCTTTAAACTTCCTTGTAAGCATGCACGAGGAGAAACGGTTTTCTAGTGAGGACACTTTTACAATTAAATGGGCATAAATAAACATGCAAGTAGCATTTTAGAGATTCTGCATTCCCAGATTGACAATATCAAGTATGCAGATGATGTAATTCACAGATAGGATATGATTCTACTGACATGATAATAAATATGAGGATATTCTAGTAATAGCAGTAACTGTTCAGCTACTGTACATGTGCGGAGAGAAGGTCTTAATGAGAAACCTACAAAACAGGATGCTCATGAGACAAGAATGCAGATCAGTTTAGCATTTTGTGAACGCATGTGCTAGTTTTATGATAAATCCAAATATTTTTACGCATTTAAATGACTTGCATCCTTATTCTCATTCTATATGATAATCCTTGCTCTTTTAAATAACCTGATAAGAAGTTATATTGTCCTTTCCCATACAATAAGTAGTTATTCTAGCTGAGAAGTAATTACATTATGGCTTTTTTTAAACTATATTTGTAGATCTCTGTAAAAATTGTGCTCCTGTTCGGTGGCTTTTGTCATGCTGGCGGTTTTGGCAACATCAGGACAGCTCCCTGTGCAAACAACATTTTCAGTATGTGGGAACTACCTTATTTTAAATAAAATAAACTCTGTATTGCCTGTTTGATCAAGTAGAAACCAAAGCTGGCTCAGATAGGATCTTTGGGGATTCCACTGAGACGTTACATGAACACAGAAAGAAAAATAATTTACCTTAGATGACGTGAGCGAAGTTTGCACTTTGATTTGAATGTGAACAAAACCAACCCGGTGTCCGTTCAATCCAGAGAAAGGCGAGGTATATCCGCATTTGTGTTGCTGAGTCAAGTTGTGGGGAAGGGGGAGCAGGCAGAAAATGGGGGGTAAATGTGTTTCAGTGAGGTCCTGAGTATTATCAATGGCTACAGCAGATAGGATGCCTCCTGTGAGAGTTGAGTCAGAGCTTAAAATAAGAAATTTTGGGTGAGTTTACCCAGAAAACGATAAATAAGGAAATGCCTGTTTCACCCCTCCTCCTCAATGTCACTAACTTGTCGCTGATGGTTGCTCTGAACCCTCCTCCAAACTCTTTTCTCCGTCTCGAGACTTTTTCCTCCTCTTGTTACCTAGAAACAGAGGAGATCATGCTGGAATTAAGATGCTTGCTTATGTTCTATAAACTTGGACTATGCATTTAAAATACATTTACCAATAACTGGTGCAGATTCAACTGTTGACACAAGCAAATAAACGGAAATGATTCACGTTTCTGTTCTGACAAGGACAGCTGTGGAGCAGCTCTGCAGGAAACAGTAAGCTGCTCAAAGGGGACGCGACACGTCACCTGTTGCTAAGATACACTCGGGACTGTTGCTGCGGCTGACAAAAAAGTTCAGGCACGTCTGACGGTGTGTGTGGGTGAGAGCTGTGTTGGTGGGGCTCATGACAAAGCGCTCACTCACTCAGTTTACGCAGGATCTTCATGCCGACGTTCTCCTCGGAGCTGGACAGAGACAGTGAGCTGATGACGGGAGAGGTGGACGGCTCTGTGGGCACATCTGTAAGAAACAGGAGAAGATGCAGGAACGATAACGCCAATATAACTGTGCCATTAGTTTAAGGATTTGAGGGTCTATGATGAACTCATACAAGGTTCCACCTTAGATTAAATGTATTAAATCCGATGTCAAAGTTCATGCACAATAATCCAGAAAAATCCAACAAAGTTCAGTCAGGTCATCTGGATGGTTTCTTTTTTTTTTTGTTGTTGAGACGTTTCGTCCTACATCCAAAGGACTTAGTCAGTCTGAGGAGCCGCAATAAACTCAGTCCCACAAGCAGCACACTCCCATAGTGGACAAACCAGTTTGCTGGTGATAAGATGGTTTCAGGGGCCCGCCCTCTCCCTCGTCGACTCCTCTGAGGCAGCCATAGTAGAGGTGTCATTTCTAACTCGGGCCCGAAGCCCAGCCCGAATTCGAGCCGGGCAGGGACATAATAATGTGCTGGATGAGCGGGCCTGGTTGGTGTTGGGCTTTTGATTGCATCAGCGGACGCACGTGGCTGACGATCCAATTTTATGGCAACGTGGCTTACCATACAATTTGGATCACCAGCCACACGCGACCATTTGACCACGTGCTGGCCGACGACCCAGTTTGATGATTGGGTTTGGAAACAGGTGAGATCCTAAAATATCATTGCAGAAATGTCAGAGCAGGGTCCGTGTGAATAATGCAGAATGCAGACAGAAGCAGGGATTTAATGCGCTTTGACAGCCATGAAAGGACAAACACCCCCTCAGCTCCCATCCATCTTCTGCCCCCTTTTACTCAGCTGCAGCGACCACCGACGGTTAATTTTATTTTATTTTATTCTTCTTTCGGCTGCTCCTTGTGTCAGGGGTTGCCACAGCGAACTAAGTCGCACGAAGACTTGGCAGTTATTCTTACGCCAGATGCCCTTCCTGACGCAACCACAGACCACCGAGCTACCACAGCCTCTGTGTGGAGCAGAGAGCTGCTATCTAGGACACCCGGAGGAGCAGATGGTGGGGGTCTGCTCAAGGGCCCAGAGTTGGACGAATGAGGATGGGGGCAGGTGTGGGTGCTTCACCTACCCCACCCACATTTTTGATGTTGTCGATACCACGGCTTGAACTGGCAATCTTCCAATCACAGACCCACCTTCTCTAACCTCTGCACCACCACTCCCACACCGACCGTTAATAATTATAATAACTATAATAATCTGTTGACTCTGGATAATAAACAAGAATTCTTATATCTTCCTTTCTTTGAAATACGTTTTTAACTCATATCAAACTGATTTGCTTACAAAAGCAACAAAAGCTTAATTAAAAATGTCGGGGGGGGGGGGGGGGGGGGGGGGGGTGTTGAGTTCAGACCTGTAATTACAGTTAATTCGTCGTGTCGGGTTAGCTAATAATGGCTACAGGCTGGGGTCAGGTCGGATTTTTTAGGCCCGAATGCAACTCTAAGCCATAGCCACACTCCATTATGAGAGTGTGCTGCTTGTGGGACCGAGTTTGTTGTGGCTCCTCGGACTGATGAAGTCCTTTGGATGAAAGACGAAACATCTCAACAAAAATAAAGAAACTGTCCAGATGACCTGACTGAACTTTGCTAGACTTTTTACCTGGTTTAGTGAGCATGAACTTTGATGTTTTGAACCACTTTGGCTATGGCTGCCTCAGAGGAGTCGACGGGGAGAGGACGGACCAAAAAACCATCTTATCACCAGCAAGCTGGTTTGTCCACTATGGGAGTGTGCTGCTTGTGGGACTGAGTTTGTTGTAGCTCCTCAGACTGATGAAGTTCTTTGGATGAAGGACAAAACATCTCAACAAACAAGTAAATCCTCCAGATGACCTGACTGAACTTTGTTGGATTAAATCTGACACATAAATTTAAACAGCTCAGTGGTAATTAAAGCAACAACAAAAAAAGGCAACACATCAAATTTCTCTTCATTCTCCGAGGTTGTTTTAAATTGGCTGCTTAAAAATACAAGCATGCATCCAAACCTTTGAGTATGATGGACTGAATAAGACTTATGGTGTAATAAAATGAATATTAAATTGAATCCATAAATGAAGGCCACATGGAACTTACCGTTGTTGGCAGAACTTTCAGGCCGGTCCTCGTGAATGTAGGGGATCTCATCCATGCGGAGGAACACGGTGTCATTTGGACTCCTTTGCCCATCAGATTTACTGCCTGTCAGAAGATTAGACCGTTAAACTAAATGTCAGTGAAGCAGCTGCATGTTTGCAACTCTGCCTATAGAGGGAGGTAGGCAACTTGCTATCATCAGGATTAGAGATTAAATAAAAAAGGTTTGGGTTTAAAAAATGAATGTATCTCTAAAGATGAGCCACTACAAGTGAAACAAATTTCATCTGTGAAAATATGATATTGAGCGACAAAACCTTATTGTATAAACGGCTTTTGTTCAGGCATCAAGGAGAACCATCTGTCCTGAGATTTTTTCATGACACAAACAGAAACATGGCAGCGCTGAGTTACACACAGTGCCGTACAGATGGTAAGTGAGGAATCTTTTAATCCTGACATCAGCATGGCTGGTTTATAAAATACCGTAATTTTTGGACAATAAGGCGTACTTAAAATCCTTCAATTGTCTCAAAAAACAACAGTGAACCTTAAATTCCAGTGCAACTTATAAATTAATTGCCGTTGTGCTTACTGACCTCGAACTGATTTTATGAAGTACAAGTGAGCAATGTTGAGAGTTATTGTGAATGAGTTGAATAAAGTTTGACTCATCTGACTGTTTTGTTTCGAATAATGTGCCTTATAATCCGGTGCGCCTTATAGTACGAAAAATACAGTATATGGTAAGATAATATTTTTTTTATTATGTCGTACAAACAGAACTGAGTCAGTGATTCTTCATTGTCATTCGCACCACATGTGGTACATATAAATAAATGATCAAAACTGGGTTTCTTCTTCTTCTTTCGGCTTTTCCCTCTTCAGGGGTCACCACAGTGAGTCATCCTAGCAGTCATCCTAGCAGTCATCCTAGCAGTCAGTATGGGTTTAGAGCAAAAAACTCTACATCAACGGCTCTCATGGAAATAATGGAACAAATAACTACTGCTGTCGATCAAAAACAGTATTGTGTTAGTATTTTTGTTGATTTAAAAAAAGCATTCAATAATATTGACCACACTATTCTCCTTGAAAAATTAAATAAATATGGTATAAGAGGACCAGCATTACACTGGGTATCTAGCTATTTGAAAGATAGGAAACAGTTTGTACAAATAAATGGTGGAAGATCTGACCTCTGCAATATCACTTGTGGAGTTCCTCAAGGCTCTGTACTTGGGCCAAAGTTATTTATTTTATATGTGAATGACTTAGTGAATGTATCAGGACTCCTCAAATGTGTCCTTTTCGCAGATGACAACACATTTTTTTGTTTGGGTAAAGATGTAAAACGGATGTTGGAATTGATGAAGACAGAATTTGATAAAATACAAACTTGGTTTAAAATTAATAAATTATCATTAAATTTAGATAAAACTAAATACATGATATTTAATAACAAAAAGAGAACTGTTGACGATCCATTTAAAATTGAGGGTGTTGAGATTTGCAGAGTTAATGAGATGAAATTTTTGGGTGTAATCATTGATGAACAGCTAACATGGAAAAATCACATAAATTCTGTAAGAACAAAAATATCTAAATCTATTGCAGTACTATACAAAATCAGGGAATTATTAAATGATAAAGCTCTGTACATGTTGTAAAACACAATCATTGTTCCACATTTAATCTATTGCATTGATGTTTAGGGGAAAGCGTGTAAAACATTTACAAAACCTATTTTTATTTTACAGAAAAGAGCTGTAAGAAT